TCAGAGTGCTTCTTTTCCCCTTTCCCAGTATTTTATTTTTCATATGCTTAATTTTAAAATGGTGGCATTAAAAATCGATACTCCTTTTTACATTGTGGAATGCACACACCATCACACACATTACACTGCAGAAAAAAATCTGACATGTGACTGAACACACTGGCTATCACCCAAGACTAACACTGTCCCTCCCAGGGAAAAGAAGCAAACATGTCAACCTGCACCGGTTGCTCCACTTCTTCCAGGCAAACTGACAAATTAAAGCTAAATAAATATTTCTATGGAATCTGAAGTTAATGCAGTCAGTCACTTGCAATGTGACCAAACTGGACAACAGAAGACGGGGCCACTAGCCTGCCACTCTTCTGGTCTCTACAAGCAAAAGAAGTCGGGTGCCTAAATGCCTTTGTAGATTCAGAGGATGTGGAACTTAAACTCAAGATATAGCGATCATCTTTCTCGCTGAAGGAAAGCTGCAGTCAGTCAAAACCAACCCTTTAGGAATAACATACATCCGGCCTGGGGACAGTCCCTGTCTACTCCAGAGTCTAGTCCAGACAGGGACAGTCCCTGTCTACTCCAGAGTCTAGTCCAGACAGGGGACAGTCCCTGTCTATTCCAGAGTCTAGTCCAGACAGGGGACAGTCCCTGCCTATTCCAGAGTCTAGTCCAGGATGGGGACAGTCCCTGTCTACTCCAGACTCTAGTCCAGGATGAGGACAGTCCCTGTCTACTCCAGAGTCTAGTCCAGGATGGGGACAGTCCCTGTCTACTCCAGAGTCTAGTCCAGACAGGGGACAGTCCCTGTCTACTCCAGAGTCTAGTCCAGACAGGGACAGTCCCTGTCTACTCCAGAGTCTAGTCCAGACAGGGGACAGTCCCTGTCTACTCCAGAGTCTAGTCCAGACAGGGACAGTCCCTGTCTACTCCAGAGTCTAGTCCAGACAGGGGACAGTCCCTGTCTACTCCAGACTCTAGTCCAGGATGGGGACAGTCCCTGTCTACTCCAGAGTCTAGTCCAGGATGGGGACAGTCCCTGTCTACTCCAGAGTCTAGTCCAGGATGGGGACAGTCCCTGTCTACTCCAGAGTCTAGTCCAGACAGGGACAGTCCCTGTCTACTCCAGAGTCTAGTTCAGGATGGGGACAGTCCCTGTCTACTCCAGAGTCTAGTCCAGGATGGGACAGTCCCTGTCTACTCCAGAGTCTAGTCCAGACAGGGGACAGTCCCTGTCTACTCCAGAGTCTAGTCCAGGATGGGACAGTCCCTGTCTACTCCAGAGTCTAGTCCAGGATGGGGACAGTCCCTGTCTATTCCAGAGTCTAGTTCAGACAGAGGACAGTCCCTGCCTATTCCAGAGTCTAGTTCAGACAGAGGACAGTCCCTGCCTACTCCAGAGTCTAGTTCAGACAGGGGACAGTCCCTGTCTACTCCAGAGTCTAGTCCAGACAGGGACAGTCCCTGTCTACTCCAGAGTCTAGTCCAGACAGGGGACAGTCCCTGTCTACTCCAGAGTCTAGTCCAGACAGGGGACAGTCCCTGCCTATTCCAGAGTCTAGTTCAGACAGAGGACAGTCCCTGCCTACTCCAGAGTCTAGTCCAGACAGGGACAGTCCCTGTCTATTCCAGAGTCTAGTTCAGAAAGTGCTGAGTGGGGATAAAATGTCCACTCTGAAATATCCTCAACCAGCAGGGAAAGATTTATATAAGGCAGCTCAATGTTTCGGGCATGGAAACAGGGTGGGGGCAGAGAGTCTTCGAGTTTAATGAGGTATAAAGACACAGACTAGAAAAAGAGAATTCTCGAAGGAAGCTTTAACAGCAAAGGCGGGTTTTGCCCTGCAAGCCCTCTGGAGCTCGGTCCCTGCAATTCTGCAGCTCATGCTGCCCTCTTGTGCCCGATGTCCAGAGTCACCAGGCTCCCTGCAAAGAGAATTCCCATGGCTTCATTTGTTAACGCTCTCGACCCGGAATTTGTGTGACCCTGATTATTAAAATCTTCTTGAACAAAAGTGCTAAGATAGGAGAGAAATTTTGATGAGGGAGAAGGAGACAGAAAGCGAATCGGAAAATGACTATAAACATCATTCAGCTCAACTTCCAATTCAGATGAGGGAAAGAGGAGAAACGCAGCCGAGATCTGAGGTTCTGTCACAGACACACAAACCATCATCAATCCCCCCGAAGGAGAAAAGGGCAGAAAACAAAGAGGGTTGAGAAGACAGAGGGAAACTAAAGAGGAAGAAGGGAAGTTGGCTCTCAGCCATCTAAGGTCATAGATTCTGTCTTGCTTCAAAATTGATCCTAATTATGAGCTTAAGATTTATCAGATTATGAGTAAACACTCAGGGGCCATTTTATATAATCTCGACGTGACTAACTTTGCATACTCATACATGGATTCTACAGAGAGAATAACTTCACATCTTAGGACTCAGGTGTGAGCTTGGCCATCAGCCATGTGGGATGGTGAAGTTAGTCTTGACCATAGTGTCATGGAGAAGAAACCTATCCCTTCAGGTCTAGCCCACTCTCTCCTTCCGATGCCAGTCTGACACTTGGGATGAAGGCTCTGTGGCCAGTGTTGCGGACTCCACGGATGGCCTGGGTCTCTGGACAAGACCAGAGGTTACCCAGAAATCAGCACCAGAGAGAGGCCAAGAGCTAACACTCCCAGGAGAGCAAGGCAAACCCATGACAGAAGGAACAAGATACTTTTGACCTCCAGAATATCCTCTCCGGGATTCTGACACAAGGGGCAGCCAGAGCAAGAGAAGAGATGGAAGGTTCAGCTCTCAGGGACAAGCTGGATTTGAGACACAGCAGACAGTGGTGACGGGATTCTGCGGGCTCCACCTGAAGTTTCTGTACCAATGGACTCCCGTGTCTAACTTCCTGGATACTATATGCTGGCAAAAATTCATAGCCATTGTAGAATGTGCAAAATATTGTTCAAATGAGAACTGACATCTTAAAAACTATTTTGATTTTCTTTTTAAGCTCTCCACTAAAGAGGGAAATAACTCGTATTAATGTTTGGGGCAAGCAAGGTCTATCTTGTGGGGTTTATTTGGGCTCTGTTTCCACTGAAGGAAGAAAGTCCTGCTAACAGACACAGCAGGGAGAAGCGAGATGAACGCCTCTGACATGATGTAAGATTAGTTACCCAAGATTTAGACTGGGCCCTAAGCCCCTCAATAAATAATAGCAGGACCAGGAAAAGCCTACGGGTCTTGACCATGAGCATGAAGAGCCTGGTAAGCAGGAGCGGGAGGACAGACGGACAGCAGAGCACAGCTTGCTAGGCGTTCCAGGTCTGTGTGGCTCTCCAGTTAACTAGCGGAGCGGCCACGATGCTCACAGCACCAAACCCTACGGCTACCTCTGAGTGCAGCTCCGGCCAGACCACATGTGGCATCTGGGGTTCATTTCTCTTTGGGCTCCACCTCGTGCCAGTCTAGAGAGCATCTGTGGGATTAATGCACACGTGGTACCTTCCAGTCTGGTCTTACGTAATCCTCACGACAATCATATAAAGCAGAAAGGGTCAGAATACCAATTCTAACCCCACAGGTAAGAAAACTGATCCCCAGGGCCACCGCCCCTGCCCCTCACAGTCTCTCTCTCTCTCTCTGGGAACTGATGGTAGCGAGTTGGGCACCATTCAAGCTCTGAACACCATTCACCCGCTTAAATCTCAGTTTCTGTAAGACGGCTATGGATATTGTCCCATTTCACACATGAGCATCGTCCCAGCTGTAACTGGTGGTTCTCAGTATCAAGACGGCCTCTGGCGCCATGGCCCACGCTTTTAACCAAGGCATCTAACTCTGGAAATTATTGTCTGATACTATCCAAATGCTTTGCTCTGGGTCCAGCAGCTATTTAACGCCCCGTGCGTCCTCTATGCTTCTTCCAGGCCACGCTCCTCCACAACGGGTCCCGTTAATGATGGCCTGCATAAACAAAGCTGCCCCAGGCCTCACCACTGACCCCCAGATGACCAGGGTCTGTGGTGACAGCTAATGTTTCCTAGCAATTCGGCCGGAGGAGGCACCTGCAGATGCAGAGTGATCAGAGGACCTTTGTGCGGGGCCTCATTCCCACAGTGTGGGAAGGCACTGAGAATGGGGATCTCGTTAGCACACAAGCCCTGTCATACAGCCAGAGCCCAGAGAGCTAAGAGAGTCACTGGTGATGGCAAAATAACAAACGACAAAGAAGGAAAGCAGCCTTTCTGTTGTTGGCTTTGTTGGTTTTAGAAACAGAATCAAACTGGGATGCAATGGTCACTCCAGAATCCCAGCACACGCGAGGAAGAAGCAAGAGAGCAATCACCAGTTCAGGGTTAGCCTGGTCTACATAGTGACTCCCAATCTAGCCAGGGCTACAGTAGCAAGACACTACCTCACAATACTAAATAAATAATATATCTAATATTATATAAAAATAAGTGAGATAAAATACAGAGTTAAAACCTTTTACTGGGAGTGATCACATTTAGATAAATCTTCAGTATCAGTCAGGTCAACCTCAGAGTCAGCCATCATACTTCAAGAAATGAACGATGCTCCCAAGAAAAGAAGCAAGTACACAGCCTGTGTCTCCTGCTCAGAGAGGGTTCCTACTAACGAGACCTTTCCTGAAGGTTACGGTACAGGCCAACATTGTGTGAACACAGTAGGTGTCTTAGCCACTCTGCAAATACATCCTACCTGCCTGCAAGGTAAGCAGCGAGCCCCGTGAGCCACGTGACAGTGGGGTTCACAACTCATTCTGCAAACTGAACGTCGATGTGTGGTTGGACACCTAGACACATCGGGGTAACTCTACACAACTGAAATGAAGATTTCCTGTCGTGGGAGAGAAATATCGGGGAGACAAGGAATAAGCATGCAGGGATTTTTCTCTCAACATCGCTCCCTTTTCAAAGACCGAAACATCCTCAGATCTTCAATGCGTCAACAAGACATTCACTGGGGAACTTGCATCTGACTTACCTATTGGGTTCCTATCGAAGAACAAGACCGGAGCTTTCAGGATGGACTCAAACATCCTGTTGTGCAAAGTCTGGGAAGCCTTCACAAGAACATAGAAGACCAATAGGGATCTCGCGATGCCAAAAAGGACCGTAATGGCAGTTAAGCCTGAAATAAAGAGAAGTTAGAGAAAACGGAGTCTTTACACTGTCTCCACTAATGTAGGCTGGATAGGCTATGCAGGTATCACTTATTAATTACATAAACATCGAGGTTCTACCTAAGTATAAAGTACTTATAAGATACACTGACAAAAATTTTCAAGTTTTTTCTCAATAAACGGAAAATACGTATGTGGGGTGGATAAAGTAGAGACAGCAGGGATTCATAAATATATTGCGTGTTCTCATAAAAACTCAGGAGGAGGATAATCACTGGAAAACTGTCCTTTCTGTCTCCATATCCAGAGATTATTTATAAGACCCCTAACCTAGCACTGTAGTGGGTTTCGATACCAACTCGTAATATTAACGGGGAAGAAATTCACCTTTTCCCTGTAGTGAATGCCCACGCAGCTTTAAGGAATTTGGAAATACCACATTAAGTGGCACGTGGAAAAACTTAAGTGGTTGAATCGTGAGAAAATATGAATCAATGTTAAGACAGATAAATATCACCTAATCACCATGTGTCTCATATAAATATCACACGTTTTGAATGAGCACCACCTAAACTCTGTGTTTAATTACGGTATGTTCGGATAACCGCTCAGCACAGAGATCGCTGGGGTGGGCTGTGTGCTGCTGGGGACGGGAGATCTTTACACATGAGGCGAGCATCCTTCCACTGAACCATAGCCCTACCCTCTGTTCTCCTAGTATCTATTAGCTTTCGCTCATACTGCTGCCCAGTACGGGGAGAACTGCTGGGGTAAAGAGTCTGCCGTGTTTTTATCTGACCTCTGAAAGCTGATTAGTTCTAAAACTCTACACACGGGCATCGTCTTTAGCCTTCCAGCCTACTTGAATAGATAATGGATCTATTTCCCGTTAGGTCCTGCATAGTCCAGGGGTCGGGATGGTAACCAGTCAATGGATTAAGTCAGTACCGAATCCCGGGGAGTGGGGCTCTATCAGAGATAATGCATCCCATCTGAGGAGAGCTGGGATGCGAGCTTCCTGTGGGAATGCCTGAAATTCCAGATGAGGATTTTTTTTATGAAGTGTGTAATCTACACATATTCCGGGGCAGCCTTGTGAAGACAGAGTGTGGTGATGAGAGGACACAGCTGGAGACAGGGTACCATTGTTGATCTCACGGTAGGAAAGTGAAAGAGCCCTCATTCCTCCACACTGGGCTGCTCTCTGCTTAGCCTCCCCCTTCGGTAATTGGTGAGGCCCCAGAGATGGGCGGTGTGCTGACGGGAACTCTGCACACCTGCGAGGGGATAATGCTTTTATTTGGGGGCCTTGCTGTCAGAGGATTCCATCCAGGTTCAATAAAGGCCCGGGCTTACTTATGCAGACAGAACTGGAGCAATCCACAGCACAGGGTGCGGATCTGTTTCTAATCCCCTGCCCACCCCGTATAATGATAGAAGAGTTAGCTAAGGCAACCTATTACAATAGACAATAGCTGCAGAGTTCCAGTGGGTGCTTTTCTGAACGCTCAATCCTAGTTTAACTTTCAAAATCCAGTAGAGAGCAAATTAAGAGTCTTCATTCAACCTCTTCTGGTAGATTTCAAAAAAAAAAAAAATTCTAATTAATTCACAGAGTAAATGCGACTGAGCCTCCTAATCTGTTAAGATGCTGCTGAATTACTGCTAGGAGCTCTACTAGCTCACACAGGCTCACTGTAAGCACCTCGGGCTCCCAGATAATAGACCCAATGGCTAAACTTTACCTGCGTAAATTCCTAAGTACCAGTTAAGATCTAGGGTCTCGGTTACACTTCCATTCCCGATCTCGGTGTTATTCAGCGCACTCTGCTGGTTTGCCCTACGGACAGAGTGTGGAAGGAAAAGGCGATTAGGTAAACACACAACAAAAGGAACCTCAGTTAGAGAGAAAAGTCTTGTGTGAGAAAATGAGTCTCAGCTCACACAATTCTGTGTACCTGATTTTAAACTTCAGTTTGAATTGGGCTAGAGAGATGGGTCCATAATTCAGAGCACTTGCTGCTCTTCCAGAAGGCCTGGGTTTGAGTCCCAGCACCCACATGGTGGCTCACAGTTGTTTGTAATTCTGGTTCCAGGGATCTGATGCCCTCTTCTGGCCTCTGCGGCCACAAGCCACAAACATGGCACACACATATATATGCAAGCAAGACACTCATCTACATAAACTAAAATAAAGGTGCCGCCTCTAATACCAGCACACGAGAGGCAGAGGCAGGCGGATCTCTGTGAGTCTGAGGTCAGCCTGCTCTACAGAGTGAGTTCCAAGATAGCCAGGACTACACAGGAAAACCCTGTCTTGAAAAACAAAACAAAATTAATGTGAAGCTTGACAGTCAGATCCCAGCATGCAGCTGAGGACCCGATGTGGTGAAGACCTCTGCAGGTCACACTTCACTGTTTCTCTTCAGGAGACTAAACTTGGACCAGAACGCCCAACAAGCCCACCTCTCCCTAAAACCTGTGGGAAAATGGAGCTCCCGGTGGATCGCAAAGCCGTTAATTCAGACACGAGCCACTCACCAGTAGGAAAGCCACCAGTCCTGAAGGACATAGAAAACCTGCAGAGGGAAGTGAGATACAACATCGGCATGGCTTCCAGACTTGAAACTCGAAATTGCTAAGATGTGGAGATACAGAGGGGATTTCCCGAGAACCAGGACGATTCCAGCAGGCATGGGTCAATGCCAAATCCCACTTCCCGGACAAGATGTCACGGTTAAGATCTTACAAGGTAAGCCCAATTTTTTTCTACGCATTTTCAACTCCAGTTAGCGTCCTTATGTTGCTCCCCACGGACAGCATACCTCAGTGTAAATCCCGAGAGAACGTGGCACAATGTGTCAATCACGCAAAAATGTATGTATGCGAGTGCCACACTGAGGGCACAGACGTCATTATGTACCTGCGCCGCCATGTTCAGCAGAATGAGGAAAACGATGAAAAACCAAGATGCCCCCGCAGTGAAGTAATTCTTGTAGGCCTTGAAGCCAATTTTCCCTTCCGAACGGCTCTCCTCAGGCTGCGCTGCCTGTGTGTTTTCTGTCTGTGAAGGGAGAGATGCTGGTGAGCAAAGAGTCACATAAAATGTCTTCAAAAATTGATTGTTGACAAAGCTCCGGGAAAACAGGTAAATGATTTGTGGCTGGCAGGAATCAAAATTGGTAATTCTTCCCTTGCATATACCTACCCAGTCTGGCAAAGCGTCCAGCCAGGACTCAGTCTCCCACTTCTAGGGGCACTTGCTCATCGCGGCATGGCTCTGCGTGAGCATGGCGGCATGATTTCTAGCACACGCCTATCACCCACACCCAAAGCAATCACAAAACGATGAGGACTAAACCATCACTCATCAACGGAAGAGAACAGGGTGGACACGGGGGTGCAGATCTGCATGGGGTGCGCGCTGAACACATGCAAGGCTCTGATTCCAACTGCAGCAAGAAATCACCAAGAATAACCGGGCGCTCACACTGTTAGCCAAACACAGGAACTGAAGAGAACCCTCTACGAGAGGGAGGAGAGCATATCCTTTCTATATCAGAATTATCCAGGCTCCTAAATATGGAGAATGAGGATTTGGATAGCAGAGACGATAGTCAGACCTGCCGGGCTTGAGTTCCGCAATTGCACATTGATATTATTCAGAGGGAAAAAATCATCATCTGTCCTGGAATTTGTATGGACCCTTTTTTTGCCACTGTTCCTTAGGCTATCAGGTATCAAGTGTTTATATAGCATTTATATTGTATTAGAAATTATAAGTAATACAGAGAGGGCTTAAAATCTACAGAAGTACACTGGCTATGTGCACACGTGACACTTACATAGGCAATCTACAGAAGCACACCAGCTATGTAAACATGTGACACTCTTACACAGGCAATCTACAGGAGCACACCAGCTATGTGCACGTGACACTCTTACACAGGCAATCTACAGAAGCACACTGGCTATGTAAACATGTGACACTCTTACACAAGCAATCTACAGGAGCACACCGGCTATGTGCGCGTGACACTCTTACACAGGCAATCTACAGGAGCACACCGGCTATATGCACATGACACTCTTACACAGGTAATCTACAGAAGCACACCGGCTATATGGACGTGACACTCTTACACAGGTAATGTACAGAAGCACACCGGCTATGTAAACATGTGACACTCTTACACAGGTAATCTACAGAAGCACACCGGCTATATACACGTGACACTCTTACACAGGTAATCTACAGGAGCACACCGGCCCTGTGCACATGTGACACTCTTACACAGGCAATCTACAGGAGCACACCAGCTATGTGCACATGTGTGACACTCTTACACAGGCAATATACAGGAGCACACCGGCCCTGTACACATGTGACACTCTTACACAGGTAATCTACAGGAGCACACCGGCTATGTAAACATGTGACACTCTTACACAGGCAATATACAGGAGCACACTGGCTATATGCACGTGACACTCTTACACAGGTAATCTACAGGAGCACACCAGCTATGTGCACGTGACACTCTTACACAGGTAATCTACAGGAGCACACCGGTTATGTGCACACGTGACACTATTACACAGGCAATCTACAGGAGCACACCGGCTATGTGCACATGTGTGACACTCTTACACAAGCAATCTACAGGAGCACACCAGCTATGTGCACATGTGTGACACTCTTACACAGGCAATCTACAGGAGCACACCGGCTATGTGCACACGTGACACTCTTACACAGGCAGTACAGGAGCACACCGGATATGTGCACATGTGACACTCTTACACAGGCAATCTACAGAAGCACACCGGCTATGTGCACGTGACACTCTTACACAGGTAATCTACAGGAGCACACCGGCTTTGTGCACATGTGTGACACTCTTACACAGGTAATCTACAGGAGCACACCGGCTATGTGCACATATGACACTCTTACACAGGCAATCTACAGGAGCACACCGGCTATGTGCACGTGACACTCTTACACAGGTAATCTACAGGAGCACACCGGCTATGTGCACACGTGACACTCTTACACAGGTAATCTACAGGAGCACACCGGCTAAGTTCACACATGACACTCTTACACAGGTAATCTACAGAAGCACACCGGCTATGTGCACGTGACACTCTTATACAGGCAATCTACAGGAGCACACCGGCTATGTGCACACATGACACTCTTACACAGATAATCTACAGGAGCACACCGGCTATGTGCACACGTGACACTCTTACACAGGCAATCTACAGGAGCACACCGGCTATGTGCACACGTGACACTCTTACACAGGCAATCTACAGGAGCACACCGGCTAAGTTCACACATGACACTCTTACACAGATAATCTACAGAAGCACACCGGCTATGTGCACATGTGTGACACTCTTACACAGGCAATCTACAGGAGCACACCGGCTATGTGCACATGTGTGACACTCTTACACAGGCAACCTACAGGAGCACACCGGCCATGTGCGCGTGACACTCTTACACAGGCAATCTACAGGAGCACACCAGCTATGTGCACTCGTGACACTCTTACACAGGCAATCTACAGAAGCACACCGGCTATGTGCACGTAACACTATTACACAGGTAATCTACAGGAGCACACCGGCTATGTAAACATGTGACACTCTTACACAGGCAATCTACAGGAGCACACCAGCTATGTGCACATGTGTGACACTCTTACACAGGCAATATACAGGAGCACACCGGCCCTGTACACATGTGACACTCTTACACAGGTAATCTACAGGAGCACACCGGCTATGTAAACATGTGACACTCTTACACAGGCAATATACAGGAGCACACTGGCTATATGCACGTGACACTCTTACACAGGTAATCTACAGGAGCACACCAGCTATGTGCACGTGACACTCTTACACAGGTAATCTACAGGAGCACACCGGTTATGTGCACACGTGACACTATTACACAGGCAATCTACAGGAGCACACCGGCTATGTGCACATGTGTGACACTCTTACACAAGCAATCTACAGGAGCACACCAGCTATGTGCACATGTGTGACACTCTTACACAGGCAATCTACAGGAGCACACCGGCTATGTGCACACGTGACACTCTTACACAGGCAGTACAGGAGCACACCGGATATGTGCACATGTGACACTCTTACACAGGCAATCTACAGAAGCACACCGGCTATGTGCACGTGACACTCTTACACAGGTAATCTACAGAAGCACACCGGCTATGTGCACATGTGTGACACTCTTACACAGGTAATCTACAGGAGCACACCAGCTATGTGCACATGTGACACTCGTACACAGGTAATCTACAGGAGCACACCGGCTATGTGCACGTGACACTCTTTACACAGGAAATCTACAGGAGCACACCGGCTATGTGCACATGTGTGACACTTACATAGGCAATCTACAGAAGCACACCGGCTATGTGCACACGTGACACTCTTACACAGGTAATCTACAGAAGCACACCGGCTATGTGCACACGTGACACTCTTACACAGGCAATATACAGGAGCACACTGGCTATATGCACGTGACACTCTTACACAGGTAATCTACAGGAGCACACCGGCTATGTGTACGTGACACTCTTACACAGGTAATCTACAGGAGCACACCGGCTTTGTGCACATGTGTGACACTCTTACACAGGTAATCTACAGGAGCACACCGGCTATGTGCACATATGACACTCTTACACAGGCAATCTACAGGAGCACACCGGCTATGTGCACGTGACACTCTTACACAGGTAATCTACAGGAGCACACCGGCTATGTGCACACGTGACACTCTTACACAGGTAATCTACAGGAGCACACCGGCTAAGTTCACACATGACACTCTTACACAGGTAATCTACAGAAGCACACCGGCTATGTGCACGTGACACTCTTATACAGGCAATCTACAGGAGCACACCGGCTATGTGCACACATGACACTCTTACACAGATAATCTACAGGAGCACACCGGCTATGTGCACATGTGACACTCTTACACAGGCAATCTACAGGAGCACACCGGCTATGTGCACACGTGACACTCTTACACAGGCAATCTACAGGAGCACACCGGCTAAGTTCACACATGACACTCTTACACAGATAATCTACAGAAGCACACCGGCTATGTGCACATGTGTGACACTCTTACACAGGCAATCTACAGGAGCACACCGGCTATGTGCACATGTGTGACACTCTTACACAGGCAACCTACAGGAGCACACCGGCCATGTGCGCGTGACACTCTTACACAGGCAATCTACAGGAGCACACCAGCTATGTGCACTCGTGACACTCTTACACAGGCAATCTACAGAAGCACACCGGCTATGTGCACGTAACACTATTACACAGGTAATCTACAGGAGCACACCGGCTATGTAAACATGTGACACTCTAACACGGGCAATCTACAGAAGCACACCGGCTATGTGCACGTGACACTCTTACACAGGCAATCTACAGGATCACACCGGCTATGTGCACACGTGACACTCTTACACAGGCAATCTACAGAAGCACACTGGCTATGTGCACGTGACACTCTTACACAGGTAATCTACAGGAGCACACCGGCTATGTGCACACGTGACACTCTTACACAGGAAATCTACAGAAGCACACCGGCTACGTAAACATATGACACTCTTTACACAGGCAATCTACAGAAGCACACCGGCTATGTGCACATGTGACACTCTTACACAGGCAATCTACAGGAGCACACCGGCTATGTGCACGTGACACTCTTAAACAAGCAATCTACAGGAGCACACCGGCTATGTGCACGTGACATTCCTACATAACTCCCAGAGGTCTTAGACCCAATCCCACCCATGCCATCTCCAAGGATGACTATCTGTCTAAAGGAGCAGTGGTGTAGATTGATTGAAAGGCTTTCAATATGGGACATAGCCACCCGGGCCTATGCTGGCTATGAGGAATAAGATGTGGTCCTCGGGCTAGACTAAGGGAGAAATAAAAGGAACTGACCTAAAAGGGTCACGTGCTAAGGCTACCAGATCTGTGTCCCTCTTGACTAACAAAAGCGTCTGAAATAGAGCGGGCCACTTATGTCACCCACCTACACCTATTAGAGTCTAAGGCGGCAGTCTCAACCTGTGGGTCTCGACCCTTTTGGGGAATCGAATGACCATTTCACAGGGCTCGCCTAAGTCCATCAGAAAACACAGATATTTACATTACAATCATGTACAAACATTACAGTTATGAAGTAGTAACAAAAGTAATTTTGTGGTTGGGGGTCACCACACCACGAGCCACAAGGTCCGTAAGAGAAAAAGGAACATATAACCAAAGACGGACTCACATCTTGGCCCTCCGGAGCCCCATCTTTCAGGGAGGGTCTGGACGATTGCTGGGACCAAATGGAGGACTCGGAGAAGGTCCGCTTCCTGAGGGTGGGGGTTCCTGAAGCTGGGGAGTGCTCTCCTTCCTCATTCTCCTTCTTTAAAAGGGAGCCGAAATCTACGCCGGACTTGAGAAACTCGGTGTATGTCCCCTTCTGCACCATTTGTCCCTGAAACAAAAGGAATTTCAGAGGCGGGCACTTACACTTCATGGCACTAATCTCACCAAACCACAGCCTACGGGCCTTGAGCTACAGCTGCTCTTGGGTCTGGAATCCTGGTCAACAAGAAGGGAGTGGCTTGGTTTGCCTCCTAAGTGAGAATCCTGCTTCCTGCCAAATTCTAGGTGCCTGACCCAATGTGTCATTGTGCCTTATGACCCAAATACCATGGGCACTGAAGGAAGCAAAACCATAGATGATGGGAGAGTCCACAGGGTCTTTTGTGAGAACACAGAGATGACTCACGCAGGGAAATTTGATTGACAGGGAGGTGCACGAGCAGCTCCACCTAGGTAGGACATACTCACCCAGCCTCAGCTGGCCACCTTTCCCCCCTGGGGAAAAACTTAGACCAATATCATGGTCTCAGAGTAAACCATGCCCCCAAATTCAAGACCGTCACTGGGAATTCAACATTCCACAGCACATCTACTTGGGGGTTCTCTTCCTGACCACAGTTATAGGAAATAATGTGCAAATATCTTCATGATGTCCTACCCCATGAGGTGAACCCCAAATGATTTATTAATACTTAGAAAAAATCCTGGCGTACTGAGTCAAAGGGAAGTAGCTCTGAGGAGAAGATGGCTCAGGTTAGAGGAAAATGGCCCTGGACCCCACCCAACCCCTGTCCTTCTCCTACCCCAACCCCAATCAAGGTGGTCCACTGATGAAAATCCCAGTGCCTTTGGGCTTTTACAAGCCTGGTAACTTAAGGATTGGAAAGGTATTCCTGGAACGCAGTGTCTTATTGCACTTAGGGGGTAAGATTTGTTCCACACATTTTAATGCAATCACACCCTTCCTGTCAGTAAAATACAAACAGAAACTACTGCTGACAAGAGGGGACAGCTCCTAAGACAAGCTGTAAGAATCCAGGGAGCAGCCTGAAGGGGAAGCCATCCTCTCCGCTCTTAGAGAAGGTCAGACAAATAATCAGAGTGGTTCTCAGTTTCTCTACCTGCTAGCAGGTGAATGAATTGTTGTCTACTAAAAATAAAACTCACAGTACGCAAGAGGCAGGATCGCCAATGCAACGGCCGGCCATGTGGGGACAGGTGACAAAACCCTTCTACACCTAGTGACTCTGCAGGCAGAATATTCAGCTCTGTGCACATGAAATTAATTGTTTTCCAGCTTGAGGAATCTGGGCGCCCATTCCCAGGGGGCCCAGGAGACAGCTGACACTCTTAGTTGTTGCTAAGGGGATAGTCACCCTGCCTTATATAATCGTTGTGGTGAGAATTTGCTTCCCGGAACTCTGACTGACAGCTCCCTCGCCTCTCTTTGGCAGCCACAGTTAAGTACCAAGGAGGCACTAAAGGACTCTACTATCATCACATAGCCGGTTTCCATAGCAACTTGTAATCTGCGTCTCTGAGAATAACTGCATGCAAATATTGCGAACTCTGGCTAACATTCACTGGTCAGTTCCATCTCTGGCCAAGAGTGATGTGGGAGGTCCTTCTGTATATGTGTTGCTTTGATTGGTTATTGAATAAAGCTACTTTGGCTTATGGTAGGGCAGAATATAGCCAGGCTGGAAGAGATATAGAGAGAGGGTAGGCGGAGTCAGAGAGATGCCATGTAGCTCTTGAAAGTGATAGACATCAGAACTTTATTGGTAGGTCACTGCCTCATGGTGATACGTAAATTATTAGATATGGATTAAGATGTAAGAGCTTCCTGGGAATATGCCTGAGTCATCACTGGCCAAATAGTGTTGTAATTAATAAAATTTCTGTGTGATTATTCAGGTCTGGACAGCTGGAAATCGAACGAGTAGTCTCCTATGATACAAGAGATTACAGAAGAATCTTATGGTTTGGATGTGGCTTAATTATTTGTGTTCCCACTGTGTGATGAAAGGCTTGGTCCTTGGGGTGGCACTACCGGGAGTTTCTGGAACCTTTGGGAGGCGGGGTCTGGTAGAAAGCCCTCAATCCAGAATGGACTGGGAAGCCTCAGTCTCTCTGGAGTTGACGCTCAGTGTGTGAGCGCCTCCTGGTGCCTTTCTGCTAGAGTTGCATCTGGAAGGGCCTTTCAAAAGGGAGCCCTGAAGGCGCTGCGTCCTTGACCCTCTCTTCTCATAAAGTGACCTCAAAGCTCTCCCCGTAGAGCTCAGGGAACCTGCAGGAGAGGAAATGGAAGGAATGGAAGAACCAGAGGGGATGGAGGACGCAGGAGAGCAAGCTCTGAACCAACTAAGCGGGGCTCAGGTGAGTTCAGAGACTGAAGCAGCAAGCATGGGGCCTGCATGGGTCTGCACCAGGTCCTTGTGTATGTATTACAGCTTCCATTCTCCTGAGTGTGAGAACAAGTGGGGCTCTGATTCTTGTGCCTGCTCCTGAGCTCGTGTCCTTCTCTGGATGCCTTGTCCAGCCTGGATGCCATGGCTTTTGCTTTACTATATTTCATTCTGTTATGTTTTGCTGGTGTCTCCTAGAGGGCTGTTCTGTTCTAAGGAGAGACAGAAAGGGAATGGGTCCAGATGGGAGAGGGGAGGTGGGGAGGAACTGGGAGGGGCAAGTGGAGGCAAAACTGTAAAAAGGATATATTGTACAAGAAAAAAAAATCCATTTTCAATAAAAGGGGGAAATCACATGGCCTGTCTTAGGTCTTCCACTGTGGCTAACTCAACGCTGAATAAAACTGATGAAGTAATGAACACATCAAGGAGGTTGTTTTCTGTCCATGATAAAGAGTTTGTCTCAGACCTCCCCACTGCAAAAGATAAGCACCATGTCACCAATGCAAACATGCAGGGTACGGGCGTGGGGGGGACACCTCAGGAAAACACCAGGAACCCTGAAAATCCCTTGCTAATTTTAATCTCAACAAGATGGTGTTTTGTCATAGGCTAAGTTGTACCTCAAGACACTCCAGTTCCAAATTCCGGTAATGAATTAAAAAGCAGGACCTTTGCAGATGCCATCAAGTTAAAGTGAGGTCACACTAAAGCAGGGTAGAGTCATGAGAAGACAGACAGACAGACGCTGGCCGGCTGTACTGACTGCCAAGGACGGCCAAGGGCTGCCGGAAGGAGACCAGAGGGTGAAAAGGAGCAAGGAAGAGATTGCCCCAGAGCTTTGGGGCCAGCTCAGTCCCACCAGGGCACAGCAGAGCAGCGAGACAGCACTTCCCAGCATCACTCTCTTTACTCTGTCCTAGCAGCCCTCGCACACCGACCTGCTGACTGAAGCGCACTTCTCTGCCTGCTGAACTAGACGACTGACTTCTAATTGCTTCTGCCATAGCCCCCGATTATCCTGGTGGCAGCAGCATTGGGGGTGGGGAACAAAATCACAGATGAGACCCTCCAATGAATCAAATAGTGGCCATCTCATCCAAGGCCAGTGTGTTGGGTTCTGATCCCATCTCCCTCCAGGCCCCTACATCATTCAGCACAGTCATATAGCCATGCTGTTCCTCCAAACATCAAGCCTCAGGTATCCCTCTTCCAGGTAAAAGCACGGTCACCATCTTCCTGTCATTGTCCCACAAGCCCCATCACACATACTCTGACCAGAAGGGAGGCCACAGAGTGGAGAGGTTTCACTTTGCATATTACTGTGGATAGGAAGCCTCATTCCAAAGGACTTGGGTAGAAGTACCATCAAGTGGTCATCATGACTAGGCAGCTCTGAGCAGAGGATGCTCAGCCATTCACTATTTTTGTGAATAAAAGATACTCTTTAGGCAAAAAGATAGATGGAAGGATGACTTAATATCAAAATTATCCAAATTATCTTCAGTACCCGTAGGTCATGTAGAAAATGAAACAAAAATGTCTACGGAAATAGCACCATCATTTTCGTCATTGATCTCACTAGAGCATCTTACAAATTTGAGGGAGCAATTTTATCATCTGGAAGAGGACCATGGCTTAGGATGGAGGTGACATTTCTGCTTTCTGACGGGCTTTCTGTTGTTATCACTTGCTTGCTTGTTTGTTTGTGGGTCTCATGGGTCCCCATCTTGCCCTGAACTTGAGCTTCTGATTCTCCTGCCTCTGCCTCAAGGGCTGGGACTATGGGCCAGCACACCCACTCCACGGAGAGCTGGGAATGGCTTCTTGCATGTCAGGCATACTCTCTACCAATGGAGTCACATCGCCAGCCCTCAGAGTGATATTTCTAAAAGTCCTTCCGATATCCTCAAGGATGCGAATCTCAACCCTAGGAAACGAATGTAAAACTGGGGGAGGGAAGGCAGCTTCTCAAGTCCATGGAGAGCAGCCTGATGGGAACCCCGCATCCCGCTTTCAATCTGAGGTTCTATCTGGTTCTGTGGACAACGACGTTGCTCACACTCTCAACTTGCCTTTGAGACACCCATCACCTTGCTCTTGAGAGTTCTTCACTTACTTCTCAAGTGCTCTGCTTTCTCTGAACCCTGCTGCGTAAAATCTGTATTAAAATCTCTTAGCAAACGCCAACCCTGCTTTTAAAGAGGAAATGACTTACATCTTTCAATATCAGGATGTGGCTGGCAGCTTTTAGGTACTGCAGCTGATGAGTCACTAAAATGGTGACCTTCTCGTGCAGGGTCTGACAGATGCACCTAGAGACGTAAACACCCCCAGAGGAGAAAACACATTAGCAGGGGCTCTCCAAACCGCAAAACCAAGAGTTGAAGCCATAACGACATAAAGGCAACATAGCAACGACACATGCTTTAAAGGAGGTATAAATACAATTTAAACACAAGCTAAAGAGGAGGATTAGCAGTTAAGGCTGAGCACTGCTCTTGCAGAGGAACCAAGTCTGGTTCTCAGCACCCTGCTGGGCAGCTCACAACAGCCTTAACTCCAACTCCAGAAGATTGAGGTCCTTTTCAGGACTCTGAGGACACCTACATACCCACACAGAGATACCCAGACATAACCGAAAAGTAAATAAAAATGAATCTTAAAACTTAAATACAAATATAAATTAATAATAGTGACTAAGTATTCAAATCCACTAGCAGCACCTGAACCTACCTATGACACTTTGAAAAGTAGCCAGAAGAAGAGGCTGTGGCTGCTAATTTTTCTTCTAAAACTTAGTTTAACAATTGTGAGCCGGGCGGTGGTGGCGCACGCCTTTAATCCCAGCACTCGGGAGGCAGAGGCAGACGGATCTCTGTGAATTCGAGGCCAGCCTGGACTACAAGAGGTAGTTACAGGACAGGCTCCAAAACCACAGAGAAACCCTGTCTTGAAAAAGCAAAAAAAAAAAAAAAAAAAAAAGAACAATTGCGTATATTTACATATTATATGACAAAAAAATAAATATTATGTATATTTATTTAATAAAAGCAGTTGAACAGTACTAATATTACAAAACATGAATAAAATTCTAATTACCTTATTGTGATATAGGAATCCTAAAGAAACACACATATCACATTAGAAGAAAGATGGGTACTTTTCTTAGATGTCTGCTCATGGGACTGCTTCTGATGTACACATTAATTAATATTATTAGGGGCTAAGGCTATCACTCAGATGGCGGAGAGCACACAGGGTGTGTACAAAGTCCTGGGCTTGAACTACTGGTGGTGCTTGCCCACAGTCCTTGTACTAAGGAGCTGGAGACGGTAGCCTAGTTCAAGAATATCCTCAACCATACAGCAAGCTTGTGTGGCCAGTCTGGGCCACATGAGACCATCTCAAAACTGCAACAAAACTCAAGAGGAAGAATGAAAACCAAGTAAATGAATAGCCTTAGAACCTCAGTTACCTCTACTAATGGACATTTGCAAACTCTTTTCCTAAATAACAATGGGTAGAAAAGTGAATGAGGAGGCCCCTGTAGCCTCCGTAACAATCCTACTCCCCATGCTAGGAGCAAATATTCTTCTCTCAGAATTAACATTTCCAACACTTAAAAGGAAAGAAGTCAATGACCTTTAAGGTTTAGACTGCTCCAAGTGCATCCAGATTCTCACTGCAGACCCAGGAGAACTCAGCCTTAGCATATGCATGGGGAAGGGGAAGCTGGCTAAGGGCCACCATACATGGAGCTCTGCCTACAGCCTGGATTCCCAAGTCTTCACACAGAGCAACCGGCAGGGCTGTAGGCCACAGGCTAGCGAGTGAGGTTGTCAGAGAGAGGCTGTCATGGAGAGACATGGAATCGAGACCTTCAAATTCGTGTGTGTGTGTGTGTGTGTGTGTGTGTGTGTGTGTGTGTGTTGCGATAGCAATGAAAAAGAAAGAAGCCATGATTTTAATAAGGATTTGGGAATTGGAGGGAAGAAAGGGAAGGGGGAAGTGACATAATTATATTTTAATTTTTTAAAAAAGTCAAAAATTACAAATAACAAAGAAACTAAAGGTACTTATCTGAGAAAGACAGAGACAGATACAGGGGAAGGTCCAGACCATAACCACAGAGGTACAAAAAAATGTCGGTTCCACCCTCCATCTTTCCCTAAGCCTTCGCCATCTGCTTCCACTAGGGGACCAAAAAGTCTTTATAAAAAAACTAAAGGTGCCTTTAGAACTGGGCTATTACCAGAACTAAGACACCCGCCCCATGCAGAAATCACACGCTTTCCATGAAGGATTAATTTTCCCCCCTCTGGCAGTCTTAATGTGGCTTATTTCTTACCGACATCTCTCGACCTGCCAAACCCTTCCTAGGTGCAGCGCCCGCGCTTCAGCTGAGCTGTTCCTTCACCAGAGCCAGTTGCCCCCATCCCTTTGTGTGACTGAGTCTAGGAGGTGCTAACATTCAGTCCTGGGTGCTACTACACCTACAAGGCCAGAGCCGGAGGTTTCAAATGCACCAACAACTTCCACCACAAACAAGAGAACTTAGAATATATGTTTTCCCTAAGTTAGGTGGCTTTTTTCCCCAAAATGTCCACAGAAATATTCATTAAATTTTTAAAAAGTAAAACTTTTTAAAGTCGGTTTGTGTATATTGTGTGTGTGTGTGCATGTGTGTGTGTGTGTGTGTGTGTGTGAATATATCTACACACATACACATAATCTTTGGCATATTTCCCAGATTGGTCAAAAAATACTAAACTCAATGAGTCCTCCTGCCTCCACCTTACTAAAACTATGCAGACACATGCCTCTGGGCCCTCCTGTGCCATACTGAGGTTGATGGGCTCATCATTGAATTCTGATCCCATACAAGAACCTCAGAGAGTAACCAAACCACTGTAGCCCCGCGTGCCAGAGCGGACATTTCAGGGACACAAACAGGAAAGGCAGAGTCAGTAAGTACTTGGATTCATTTAGTTGAAGGCTTTTGTCTTTCCACACATTCACACACTGGAAATTCGTCACCAGCGTGATGGTATGAAGAGATGGGGCTTTCTCACTGCCATCACGGAAAGGACTGGCGTTGTTCCTTATAAAGGAGAACCAGTGGATGAACGGTACCACTTCTGCCGACATGTGCCTAGGAATCACCAAGTCCTCAAGAGACATCGCATCTGCTACTGTCTCATCTCGGGCTTCCTGCCTCCACGAGATGAGAAATACATCTCTGTTGTTTACAGATTATAGGCTATGGGATTCTGTCACAGTAGCCTGCACAAAACTAAGAAATACATAAACTAAGACGAGGAGGTAGGCAGCAGCGTGGGAGATCTAATTAGGATAGCCCTGCACAGATCACGGGAGAGGCAGGCATCTGCAGTGTTGAGACTTTCTAAAATGCAGAATCCACAGCTACATGAGGCTGGCATCAGTCGGGAGACCCCAGCCTTCTGTTTCCCATGTTTGTAACATATATAGTTGTAAAACCCGCAAATCTTAATAACCTTGGATGTATATCCGTGATTGAAATAAAACTGCTAATGGCGAACAGAAGAGTGCCTCGTTCCCATTTAATACAAAGCACTCCACGTTTCTCAGCTCCGACGCGGCCGCCATCTTTCACAGCGTATTGTTCAATCCAATTTTCTAACTCGTTGAGAGCATTCTCCAGCTGCTGCTGAGTGATTTCCTAAATTGCATTCGTGCTTCCTGCTCCAAGTTCCCCCAAAGAATGTGGTTCTGATTAGCAAGCAACGATTCTAACAAGCTTGCTTCTATCGAGGGTCTATCCAAAGCCATTAAACATTAAAGGTGCAAGCAGACTTTATAAACACCCATGCTCAAAGGGACGCTTGGGGGGGGGGGCACCTCTGTGATCTGCATACCGATACCAAGCAATTAAAACGCCTCCCTCTCTCCTCCCGAGAGCTTCCACTATAGCTTTCCACCGAGAATCATCTCCAGTGCTGGGGAACTTGAGTGGATCCTTCAAGGCTCTCCAAAGTGACAAAGGGTTGATTCCGCCCAGAGCAAAATCCATCAAGTCACAATCAAGGGTCACAGGAAAGGAGGATCGGATCAAAGAGCTGGGTCAGAGCCAAGTGCCAGCCGCTCTTGCTTTCTGTGCTCTGAAATGCTCAACCCAGTACCACGCATGTGTTTTTGTTTGTATCGTAGTAAAATTCATATGCCGTAAAAGTCACCACCGTGGCCACTTTGAAGTGTCTTATCTGCAGCATGAAATACGTTCACACTGCTGTCCAGCCCACCACCACCCACAGCCAGAATGCTTTCATATCCACAACAGGCGACACATTTGTGTCCCATGCAGATGTAGGGCTGGTCACTCCCCACCATCTGCCAAGCCCCAGAAGGCCACGCCCAGTAGATGGTCTGGTGTTCCATCCAGTCCTAGAATCCAAAGCCTAGATGGGTGGTTTTCACTATGCTGAGGGTCTGTTATAAACTGAACCCCACTTCCCTAAATTCATACCAAATTTACAAAAGGTCAACACCTAATGGTTTAGATAGAAGTTCTAGAGGGAAAGCTAAGAGTAGCTATGAGGGTAGTCCTCAAACAACCTGATGGGTGTCCTCTGAAGAAGAGGGAACTTGGGAAAGATACCCAAAAAGGAAAAGACAGAAGATGGCCATTGACTTCCACCCTCCGTGGCTTAGTCTGGGAGAGTCACAGCAGACTCTAGCATTTTATTTTGGTGCACAGACCTAAAGAAGGCAGAAAGTACAGGTTAGCATTTCGGGGGGCTCTAAATCTGCCATAAAATCTGCAGCACCCCTTGAGGGAAATGTGCCCACTTGCTGCTGTCATCTGGTGCCTTGCTTGTCCACACCTTTACACCTGTGTCATGAGTTCCCATTCTCAGTGTCCCCAAACCTCCCAGTCTACAGTTCAACATATATCACTGAGATCTCTTCTGCGGGGCCCTATGAGACCACTGAATCTCACTGCGAAGGAGGGGCTGGAGAGACAGTCAGTTAAGAGAGCTTGCAGAGGACCAGAGTTCGGGACTCAGAACCCATGTCAGGTGGCTCACAACCAGCTCTAACTCCAGTTCTAAAGGAACCCAGTCCCCTCCCTGGCCTCCTCTGGCACTGACACACATGTGGCATTCACTGACCAGACACATATACATACACACACACACACACACACACACACACACACACATTGAAATAAATCTCATTTGCAAATTTTGGAGGAAAAAAGCCAACTCCCTAGTACCAAGTGGCCAAGCCCCTTCCTTCAATTTAAAAACACACATCTTTTTTCTTCTTGGGGCCTGGGTCTTCTAGTCTCTTGGCTAAGAACTTCAAGGAGCTATAGAAAACAAATAAAGAGAGTGCCCTCTGATCTGAGACTCTACACACAGGCTCTGTGCATTTTGCCACACTAATGGCACCTTCCCTATTTCCCTACCTTGATCTTAGGCTTGTAAAATGTGTGATATGGAGGGGAAGAGAGAGGTGCATTAATGAGAGCCTAGATGAAGCTGTAGAAATTATTTCACGGGGCCCAACTGGAAGGGTTCCTGAACACGGAGCTGACATAAGACAGCACAAACTCACAGCTGGAAGAGGTGTTTTCCCACTTCTGCATCTACTGCGCTGAGTGGATCGTCGAGGAGGTAGATGTCGGCGTCTTGGTAGACTGCCCTGCAAGGCAAAGAGGGAAATCAGACCGAAGGGCGCCTCCCTGGCCACTGTCTTAGGGATCGTGGCGCTCAGTCACTGGATGTTCATCCAAAGCACCCATGGATTGCTCAAAACCAGCGCTTTGTATGGTACAGACACAGTGAGCAGATGCTACACGCCCAGCCCCCGCCACCGCATGCTTCCGTTAAGGCTCATACACAGGGCTGCTGGAAGACAAGTTACCGTGCTAAGTTCACCCGTGCTTTCTGCCCTCCGCTGAGCGTGGCTCCCCGGTCTCCTATCACAGTCAGATCCCCATCCTCCAGAAGCTGCAGGTCCTGCACGGAGACAGAGGGAAGCCTCAGAGCTGCTCTTCCGCAATCATCTTACACACCTTGCAGCAGGACTTTAGGGGCAGGGCGAGGAGAACACACAGGACCCAGGGAATCTCCGTGTTACACTTCCTATGAGGATTTAACTATTTCTGAGGTACTCTGATGGAGGAAGGTCATTGGCTAATAAAGGCACTGCCCTGGCCCATTTTATTGGTTAGAGGATAGGTGGGAGGAGTAAACAGAACAAAATGCTGGGAGGAAGAGGAAGTGAGCGCAGAGACTCCACAGCTCTCTCGGGAGCAGATGCCTGAGAGAGAGACGCCATGCCCCGCTCCCGGGATGAAGCTCCGACCCAGGATGGACTAGGCTAGAATCTTCCCGGTAAGACCGGTTCTCACAGATTATTAGAGATGGGTTGATCAGGATGTGAGAATTAGCCAGTAGGGGCTGGGGCTAAAGGGCCAAGCAGTGATTAAAAGAATACAGTGTCTGTGTAATTATTTTGGGCATAAGCTAGCCGAGAGGGCGGCCGGGGTGCTGGGAATGCAGCCCCGCAGCCCCTATTACCACAGTACTCAACTATGTTAATGATATCTGCCAAGTGATGAGCAGAGATTCGCCATTGTTTGGACACAGCGACTGTGGCAGGGAAGGAAACAAGGTCCCTGCAGCATCCGTAATGGAGGCTGACACTATGAAAAGTTAGTAAGGGTGTGCAAGACAAGGAAGGTAGCTATCAGAGGGACTGGAGAGGGAAGGTTCATCTCCCACTGGACGGCCAGCTAGGGCTCAGACAGAGAGTGTGGAGTGTGGAATGAGCCCGCCAAACCTGGGCAAAAACGATGGCATCAAAACAGAAAGGAAGAACACATCGATGCTGTGGGCGTGGTCAAAGGAGAGTGTTAGGAGATGATACTGATGAGGGAGAGGGGTCACAGGTTCACACCTATGAAATTCAAGGGAGGGCATGATCTGCCTCATCAAGTGGGAAGAATCACTAGCTGAGGCAAGGTCCGGGCTAAGGAGATGCTGAAGCATTCGGCGTGAGAACTGTGACGGAGTGGGAACAGTAACATTAGAGACACCAGGGAATTAATTAATGGTAAGATTCCAGATTCATGTACCTCTGTGTGTGCACATATGCACATGTGAGCATGCATGCATATAGACATGCATAATCAAGAGCCAGTGAGAGGCCTGGCGGTGGTGAAGAGCGCCTTTAATCCCAGCACTTGGGAGGCAGAGGCAGGTGGATCTCTGTGAGTTCGAGGCCAGCCTGATCTACAAGATCTAGTTCCAGGACAGGCCCCAAAGGTACAGAGAAATCCGGTCTCAAAAAAACAAAACAAAATGAAAGAAAGTCAGTGGGAGAACCAGAGGCACACACAGAGAGGGAGAGATAATATAGTAATAGGTATGTAGGCACAGTGAGTGAATAAGAGAGACGAACACACAAGACTTTGAATATAAGAGAGCTATTATTCTGCAGTTAGCGCCCCTTCTTATTATTATATTATTTATACTATATTATGTTTGTTATATAGCATGTATGATTGCAATGAGATATTACTACTTAATACAAGTCTAATTTGTCACTGTGGCTTGACACACACTCTCCTATGAACTCTAAGCCAGCAGGCAAGAAAGTGCCACTAAAACATGAAATTATTTTCTTTCCACATCATCATAAACCCCCCCTGACCAACACAATCGTGACATTCCAGCTACAGTTCAAATGAAACTGTATTTTCCTCAGAGAGCTGACTAAAGAGCCTTCAGCACCACAGCTATGAGAGATCTGCCTAGCCTTTCCTATACAAAGAACAGCCGGGTGTCCAGGACTCTGTAAACAGACCCTGTGGAGAGCTCCTTCAGGCTACTATTGACCAATTCTTGCAGCCAACGCAAGAAACAGCATCTGTAGGAATTCGCCTTTTGTCTACCTGCTAACTTATATTTACCCATCAGGTACGTGCGGTTTTGATCAATCATCTATGAGTTTTATTAAAATCACCATGCATAACAAAAATTTCATTTTACTTTCTAGGAAGCTCAGTGTCAAGTCTGAGAACCTACTCTCTCCTGGAGACATGTTAAGAGTATTAAAAAAAAAGAAGTCACTAAAACATGTTGTTTCCTTTAAAATGAATAAAGTATAAGTCAGGCCGAGGCTGCAGACTCTCTTCCTGGTTTATTCTCGGGTGTGCAAGCTGACAATTGGAACTTGGGGTCCACAGACTGACTAGGACAGGGATCATCTCAAGCCATGTTATTCTTGAATGCTGAATGGTGTGGGGCCCAGAGACTTCTTTTAAACACAATTTACAGACAAAACACAAAGGCTCCAGGATCCCCTAAAAAGTACCGTGGAGTGGAGATGGGGCCTTACATGTTCTGACAGAAACGACGAACAACCGGTCACCCGGTGAGTGTGGTCAAAGCTGTGTGAAGGGTACGGCGAGGGCTCAACACGCTAACCCCTCCACTTCTGCAAATTTTTGCAATTGTTCAATGTTTTGTAAAAGTGAAGAATCAGGAGACGGCTCACTGGTGAGGAGCACTGACTGCTCTTCCAGAAGCCAGGATTGATTCCCAGTACCCATATGGTGGCTCATAACTATTTGTAACTTCAGTTCCAAGGGATCCAACACACTCTTCTGGCCTCTGTAAGCATCAGATGGGCAGATGGCACATAGGCGTACATGCCAGCAAAACACCTATCCACATAATAGAAAAATAAATACCTTTTTTTAAAGTTCAGGATTACAGAAACAGGTGGAAAGGGGGATGGGGGCACACCCCTTGTGGGAGCAAGGCCGTGGACAAGGTGATGGGCTCAAAAGGACACGAAAACAGTTAAAAGTGAACAGAACTCAATAAAAGGAAACCAAACAGCAATGAGCGGGGATAGAGCAGTTTCCAGAAGCGTAGCGTAAGGATTATAATAACTGAAAAATCTTCCAAAGCCAGAATTTAAAGAAACAGCCACATGACTAGAAAACAGAGTGTAAGAGACTCAAAGGTCACCTTCTTCAAAGCGCAGGCCTTGATCACTTTCTCATAACGCTCCTTCTCGTATTTCTTCCCAAATAAAATATTGCTCCTCACGGTTCCCGAGAAGACCCAGGGCTGCTGAGAAACGTAGGCGATCTTCCCGTGCACGTTGACGAGCCCACTGGACGGAGGCAATTCACCCAGCACCGCGCTCAAGAGTGACGACTGAAAAAGAGTGTGCAACACACACATGCTGTTAATGTCGGCACAGAATAAACCATGCTCCCGGCATGCCTAGCCCTGCCAGTTTATCAAGCACCAGCTTCTCGGGGGAAACAACACTAGAAGCTGCAGGTAAAAGCAAAAACAGAACATAAATTTCACCGCTGTATTTGATAGAAAAAAAAAGTACACAAAAATAGATTATGGCAATTGACCCTCCCAAATGACCTTCCGCCAAACGCAATGCTATATCGAATGGCTGGCTATATGCAATTAAGAATGAAATATGAAATACTATGTGTAATTAACAATCTTTGCTGGGCATTGTGGTGCAGGCTTATAATCTCAGCACTGGGGAGCAGAGGATGTAGGATCTGTGGGACCCCACAGCCTCAAATCTGTTCTATCTTGACTAAAGTCCAGAGAGTTCAAACCTATTCTTGCTCCTCAAGGACAAATAACAGAGTGTTTGGCCAAAGATGTCTCACTATTCAAAACCAGACAACAGGATGGTTGACTTAGGGCATGGATACTATGTGTTTGAGATGTAAGGAGGTAATCACACTTGTTTGTTCCTTGAATCATGGGAGGGAGATCTTTGGCCCTCCTCTTTGGATTGGGGTATATAAAGACTATGAGTAATAAACTCAGGGTTGTTACAGTATGCACTGAGAGCCCACCCTACTCTATCTTCTGTCTCTTGTATCTTTTTATTCCTCACGCCCCTTTTCAGACATGTGCAAAAAAATTGGCTGGTCTCGACAAGAGTCAAAGTCATCCTTGGCTACATAGCAACTCTGAGGCTATTGTGGGCATTCTGAGATCCAGTCTAGATAGACAGACAGACAGATAGACAGACAGACAGATAGATAGACTCATAGACAGATGACAGTTAGATACACAGATACATAAATAGATGATAGACAGACAGACAGATAGATAGATAATGACAGATAGATAAACAGAAAGACAGACAGATAGATAGATGACAGATAGATAGATAGATAGATAGATAGATAGATAGACAGAAAGACAGACACACAGACAGATAGATAGATGACAGATAGATAGATAGATAGATAGACAGATGATAGATAGATAGATAGATAGATAGATAGATAGATGTAAATGAAAATGAACAGAGGAATGTTGGTATCAACACAACGGGCATATCCAACATTGAATGAAGTTGCTGCCGCATCCAGATAGCCCAGATCGCCTTTGCTCAAGTGCCTGTTCCAGACGGGCCATGCACCAATGCTGCATCCAATGCACAGGAGAAGACCTTTGTTTAAAGGAGTTCTGAGGAGCAAACCTTCATCATACACAGGAGTCCCCCTCCAGTCTATCACATGTGTGCCTACCACAATCAGAGAGCTGGAGACTATCCACCTGACCTGAACCCAATCCTGTGAAAGGCAGTGGTGCCTGGGTCTGGGCATCTCCGTGCATCCTTCGGTCCAGGCACAGCAGGAGCCACAGCTGTGTTAGAGCTAAATACGAGGACCGGCAGGACTTGGGTAAGTCGTGAGAGGAACTGTCTCATCTGGACAGCCTCCCAACACCCTGTAGCATTTAGAGGCCAAACTGGAAAAAGGAAATCTCTCTCATCCTTCATCCTTCTGTCCTGAGGAGTAGCAGTCACATAAGCAATTCCCAACGAGCCAACTCTAAGACAAAATAAAACAAGAAACTTACCTTGCCTGCTCCCACTGGACCAATCACAGCTAACAATTCACCAGGTCTGGCAGTAAAGGAAAGGCCTTGCAGGGTTGGAGTGTCTAAGGCCTAGGAGGTAAAGTTTACAAAATGTCTTATTTTAAGGAAGTAACATAACCACTTTGAAAAGTAGGAGAAATTAAACTACAGCCACCGATACGTACAAACGTAACCCGTATTCCTTCCTCACTGAAGATGTTATGGATTGACAGCCTTCTCGCGCTGTTTACCTAATAAGCTTAGTTAAATCAATAAACTTGAGTCCACATTTCCATATGAATTCGGAATTTAAGCAGGACAAAGGACAACACTGTCTTCTCGTGAGGAGAGATTCTTGGCTCATACTAAAGCACTAACACAATATTCCTATTAGAATATCCCGTGCAGGAGGATTTAAATCGTTCCGAAATGTTCACTGGGTCCTTAGGCTTTGATCCTCCATGTCGCTCACTCCCACAAGGTGGCAGCACAGAACACACCAGCATGTCTGGCCCCTGAAGAGCAATGTGACACCATCCTTAACCTTTGTGACCAGGAATCTCAGCAGTAGACTCGAGACTCAGGACTCAGAACGACTCTTGGTAGCATGAAATCAATCACAGAAAACAACGTCCTACCAATACCCTCAGCACTGCAACAAGAGAGCGAGTTTAAGAACAAAACTTAAGACATTAAGCTCAGTGTAGGCTAGCAGGTCAGGTACACCTGTGACATTCACGGCCTGTCTTGCTGAATAGGGTCAACACAATCCTGCTACCATAAAAACCACGGAGGTACAGGCTGCACGGTGGGTGGATGGGGGCAGAGGTAAAGCATAGTATACCATGAGAAATCACATTCCTGGGCAACCTACACATTTTAACATAGAGAAGTGTAAGACTCTATGTATGGCTTATATAAGTATTGCAAATTCAAGAACTTAACACTGCGAATTCTTTGAGCTGAGATTATCGGGAGCACAAGTGTGGAAATCCATATGTAAATACACTGGATAAAATCGCACTAAAGCTATGCACAAGTGTGGAAATCCATGTAAATACACTGGATAAAATCGCATTAAAGCTATGCACAAGTGTGGAAATCCATATGTAAATACACTGGATAAAATCGCACTAAAGCTATGCACAAGTATGGAAATCCATGTAAATACACTGGATAAAATCGCATTAAAGCTATGCACAAGTGTGGATCTCCATATGTAAATACACTGGATAAAATCGCATTAAAGCTATACACAAGTGTGGATCTCCATATGTAAATACACTGGATAAAATCGCATTCAAGCTATGCACAACTGTGGAAATCCATATGTAAATACACTAGATAAAATCGCATTAAAGCTATGCACAAGTGTGGATCTCCATATGTAAATACACTGGATAAAATCGCATTAAAGCTATGCACAAGTGTGGATCTCCATATGTAAATACACTGGATAAAATCGCATTAAAGCTATGCACAAGGTAGATATGAGAGGCACAGATGATTCTCATTTCACACTTGGGTCTCATCTCCAAGGTTTCCCATGGGAATACCAAAAATCTCACAATCCCCAAAAATCTGGAACGCCCTATTCAAACATTTCAAAGTACACAACTTATACTAAATTTCAAGAAAAGTGATCGCTGACAATTTTTAAGTTGTTTTATAGCTTCTTAGTTAAATTTCTTCAAGGAGTCAAATCAAATCCGCATCTCTATTCAGTTGAGAGACGTGGGCTCTACAGAATCTTAAGAGAGCCCTGGACCAGAATAACGTTTCCTTCCCTTTGCCAACAACAATCAGCACATCGGATTGGCTTGTCTTCAGCAGTAGCCAGATGTACGGAAAGGAGAAGCGTGGTCAGACCTTCACAGTACTGACCGCCAACACTAAGAACGTTTGTCTAAATCCCACATGAACGTGTCAGACAGCATACTACATAATACTGATGGTAACGGTGGAGAGTGGAGACACTGCTGTCCGGGGGCCATTGCTCACGGGGTACATCTGAGTGTACCACACAGCTAAGGCTGCAGTAAACTCATCTGAACCCCAAGCCTTCTGCAAGATGTTCTCTTGAAGAACCAGTGTTCTGTACAACACACTGAGGAAAATGGTCCTCTGTATCACAGAAAAACAAGAATAAACCAAAGACTACACAGTCCTTGTGAGGACAAAGAGGCTCCTGCCCTTTGGAGGCTCCAGCCTGAGCACGGCTGTGCTGTGAGCAGAAGGGGGCAGAGAGCAGCTGGGGAGGCATTGGCCCGTCACTCTCAGGGTCCAGACACTACCCACAGTGATGCCACCGGTGATGAGCCCTTGCTGCAAGCTGAGCCGCACCCTGGGGATACGGCAGTGAACAAGGCAGAGGACAGCAGTCCCCAGCCCCTCTGGAGATGCACAGGTCCCCCAGGGCCATAAACTGTGAGCTTGGAGGCTGAGTCCTTAAGTGGGAACTGGGTTAATGAGCAGAGCTTTCCAGCGGGCTGTGGTAGAAGCCAAGCATGTTCTTCATTCTACCCTGGTTTCTCCCAGAAAAACACCCTCCCACACCTAGTGGCCTTTCTGGACCTGACCACCAGGGCACCCCAAGCAGAGGTCATAAAAATCCCACAGACAAAGCCAGGAAAACAGATGGTAGAATTCCGTGTGAAAATGCAATCCTGAGAATACTTGGAATCAAACAGCCCATTTCTCAGTGTGGCAGAGTTGGAGAGAGAAGAGACCCGGCTAACAGACCTCCTGAAGGGCTGTGTCTAATCCAGCAGCGTTCCCTAAGGTGCTTTCCAGTGTCTGATCCAGCAGCGTTCCCTGGGGTGCTCTCCAGTGTCTGATCCAGCAGTGTTCCCTGGGGTGCTTTCCAGTGTCTAATCCAGCAGCGTTCCCTAGGGTGCTCTCCAGTGTCTGATCCAGCAGTGTTCCCTGGGGTGCTTTCCAGTGTCTGATCCAGCAGTGTTCCTGATCCAGCAGCGTTCCCTAGGGTGCTCTCCAGTGTCTGATCCAGCAGTGTTCCCTGGGGTGCTCTCCAGTGTCTGATCCAGCAGTGTTCCCTAGGGTGCTTTCCAGTGTCTGATCCAGCAGCGTTCCCTAGGATGCTTTCCAGTGTCTAATCCAGCAGCATTCCCTAGGGTGCTTTCCAGTGTCTGATCCAGCAGCATTCCCTAGGGTGCTCTCCAGTGTCTGATCCAGCAGCGTTCCCTAGGGTGCTTTCCAGTGTCTGATCCAGCAGCGTTCCCTAGGGTGCTCTCCAGTGTCTGATCCAGCAGTGTTCCCTGGGGTGCTCTCCAGTGTCTGATCCAGCAGTGTTCCCTAGGGTGCTCTCCAGTGTCTGATCCAGCAGCGTTCCCTAGGGTGCTCTCCAGTGTCTGATCCAGCAGCATTCCCTAGGGTGCTCTCCAGTGTCTGATCCAGCAGCGTTCCCTAGGGTGCTCTCCAGTGTCTAATCCAGCAGTGTTCCCTAGGGTGCTTTCCAGTGTCTGATCCAGCAGCATTCATTTAGGGTGCTTTTCCGTCCTGTCTCTAATACGGCAGCATCCACCTAGGGTGCTTGTGCAGCGCTGTATCTAACTCAGCAGCACTCACTGAGGGCTCTTGACAGTGGCATTTTGGCCATGGTTCCTATCAACACTTTAAATGCTGGGATATGCCAAGAAACTGAAGAAACACTTCCAGGCCAGATAAAGCACCTTGCAGGAATTTCCATGGGTCAAGAATGCAGGGCTGTGGTTGTCCACATCTGGACTCACAGTGCTGGTTTGTGGAGAGAGCTGAAGCATTGTGGCCAGATTCGGAGAAAGTGATTACAGACCACACAGTACTCACACATGGGCAGGCATGTAAAGAGAGCAGGAGTCTGTGGTTTGACATGCGTACCACAGGGCAAGGGGAGGCAACGCAGAGCTGGAAAGGAGTCTTGCTCAGCTTCCAGTTGGCTTTCGGCTACATTCCAAACTCAAGCAATCTGTACTTCCTAGGTCCTCTTGCCGACTCAACCTCAGCCACAGAAAGCACCGATTGGAGGCTGGTAGTAATCACGCCCCCTTCGCACCCTCGGCAACCCCAGCTTCTGGAGGCAGCTGGGGTCCCTGTGAGTGTGGTTTCTTCTCACTCAGAGGTTGGGAGCACATCCCTGCGATTGCCAGTCTCCAGGCAGCCTCATCATGGCCTCTTCTTCTCCATCTCTATCTACTTAACACACTCATGCTCCCCTGCAGCAGACTCTTGTTTCTCAGACTGAGAGGAGTTCTGTGATGCTGGAGACCCCAACGCAGTGGGCAGCGGGGTGTACTAAGTCTCTAAGACTGAGCACTTGCTCACAGCTATTCCTGCTACTCTTCCTGTTTGCCTGTATGCCCATGGAATCCAAGGTGGGAAATCCTCCTGGCCTCGCCTGTTTTACTATCTACTCAACATGTGTGAAACCCTACACCTAGAAACCCAGGCACTTTACTGTGTTGGTCTGCTGCCTCCTCCCTGCAGGTTGCCATTCAGGGAGCCAGAGGCAGAGAGCACTGAGATCCCAGGGTCCTCATTCTGATCCGCTGAAAACAATACAAATCACAGATTCTTTCTACATGCTCTAACATGGTATGAAAACAAGGTAAAAACCTACGACAGTTTAGAATGTGCATAGTTAATTCTTCCCATACTAACCCCTAGCCTGCCCAGCCCTGTGCACTCTAACATCGCCAATACCCAAACTTGGGGATATTCAGTTCAAACCAATGATAAAACTTTCTGTGAAAATGAGATAAATAACTTTCGGGAGCTGGGGAAACGGCTCAGCCGTTAGAAGCACTGGTGGCTCTTCCAGAAAACCTGGGCTTCATTCCTGGCACCCATGGGATGGCATGCAACCATCTGCAACTCCAGTCCCAGAGGATCTGATGCCTTCTGATCTCTGCGGGCAACTGCACACAAACATGAACTCAGACCCTCATGCACATAAAATAAAATAAAGATTTTTTTTTAAAGATCAACTTTTAAATTCTTTAGAATCACGGTATTTTGGATTTTGATAATTTTTATAAAACCTTCACAGGACAGGGTACCCTGCCCTCTCTTAGGACTGGATGGGGAGGGAGGAGAGTGAGTGGGGGAGCGGGAGGGAAATGGGAGGAGGGGAGGAAGTGGAAATTTTGAATGGTATTATTTATAAAGCAATAAAAAAAGAAAAATTTATAATCTTCAGTATATGAGCCGATTGCCTTTTACAGACTTTGTAAAATTGTCCACATTCTGCTTCATCAATGTCACCCATGATACCTTAGAAATCACAGGGATTTGTTACCTTGTCCCAGAAAGCAGTAAAATCTTGCACATGGACAATGGCTTTGCCGTCACATGGTTCCTGGGCTTTGCGCTGTGGAAGTTCATCAAGTAACAGAAAGTTCTGGAGAAAAGGAAAAACATGAACTATCTTAACCACAGGAATAAAAGCATAATGTAAACGTAAAACTTCTTACAGTCTAAAGTGTGGCCGGGAGCTGCCTCTGCAGGCGAGAGTGTCTGACACGAAGCCTGCCACTCTGAGTTCAATCCTAAGACCTCAGGGTAAAAGGAGAGACTTCCACAAGCTGTCCTCTGACCTGCACATGCGTGCCTTGACATGTGACCCTCACACATAATAAATATGTAATAAAATACCTTAAAAATAGCGTCAAGTCCCATCGAACGTGCTATGCATTAACAGATTATCTATGACGAGACCACCCGGCTGGTGCTATGCACACGACCTGGCTCTGAAGTCTCGGGGAAGGAAGTGTAGCAAAAGCAGAATCACAGCAGAGGAGCACAGGTGTGAAGCCACAGCCGGGAGACGCTCTGCATCATACACTTCCAACGATGCTACGTTCAAAATCCGTCCCCAAGTATTGTGTTTAAAAAGGAAAGGAAACTGCAAATGAATGGCACAGGCCACTCAACTCGGCCCTGGACTGAGTCCCTACCTAGCTGTCTGGTGAGGCTAGAACGGCAATTCTCAACCCGTGGGTCACGACCCCTTCTGGAATCCAATGACCCTTGCACAGGGGACACCTAAGTGACCCTATACTTGATCTGTATACCAAATGATTTACATTACAATTCATAACAGTAGCAACAAAATACTCATATGTTTGGAGACGCCACAACATGAGGAAATGTATTAAGGGGTGGCAGCGTTAGGAAGGTCGAGACCCACTGGTCTAGAAGATGAAATTTGTGTGGTTTTCCACGATTCCCTTGATCCTAGAGCCACCATTCAGATATCAAGAGCCCTGTGCTGTTGCTATTTCTATTGGGCCCACCTGGGTTTCAGCACACTGCACCTACAAATAGGGCACCATACATCACTCTGGACTCACTAACAGTTGGATGCTCACAGGACTAAAGTCCGCCCAAGACAAAGCGGCACTATGGAAATCATCATTAGAACTCTGCACAAACCTTGATCCTTCGAATGCTGATTACTGATTCTGACACTTTCTCAATGGCCGAGGGGAAGAAGAGGGTGACGGTCAGCCGAACGGCACTATACAGACTCATGGTCACAAACACGTGGCTGGCTTTGATCTCATGGCCAAGCAAGACATAGGTAGTGAAGGTCACAAACAGAATGATTTTGTTCGCAATGAAAAATGACGCCATGTTCATCCCTCTGAGGTAGGAGCTGCCCAGAATCTTGGAAATTTCCTTCCTAGAAAAGAGAAATAAGTAAATTTTCACATAGAAACGCCAATATTGATGTTACATGCATGAGGCCCCTTGTTAAGCAGTACACACACGTTAAGATACACTGTGGGGGCAGGAGAGATGGCTCAGTCTGCAAAGAGCTTCCGTGCAAGCATGAGAACCTGAGTGTGACCATAGCATCCACATAAGAAGTCAGGCGTGGCTGGATATACATGACTCTATATTGCTCCGTGCTCCGTGAAGGTCTGGGCCAGCTATTTCTGCCTAAGGATGAATCTACCGTTTTACGAGAGCTGTTCTCTCCTCCAGAGAGCTGCTGAGCTCAGAGGGGACAGGTTGTTTCTCACTCCTTCTTCTGTCACCTGTAAGGCCCTGGACTAACTCTAGGTACGTTAGTAGGACCGACGTGAAAGTTATCCGGCACCTCCAGCACTGGGGAGACAGAGTCAGGTCCCTGAGGCTCACTGGCTACCGGTCAACTGAGTGACTGGACCTCAGGTCCCAATGAGAAACCCTATTTCAAAAAACAAGATAGCAGGCTTCTGAGAAACAGTATCTGAGGAGAACCTCTGGCCTGCCCATGCATGTAAACACATGTACACACATACCTACACACGTGTAAACACGCACACGTGTAATAAATAATTTTTAAATGTCCTGTGACATTACAGAAACAGTGGTGAACACATACTCGAGGAAAGCTTCATTAAAACCACACGGGACACAAACCACTAGCTCATCCAACCAAACACTGCTAGAGGTGCAGGAGAACAGTTTGGGTCACTGTGAGTTGATTTTTACCAAAAACTCAAACAGATGCATTCAGCTAGCATATCTAAAGGTTAAGTCCTGGGTCAAAGACCTTGCAGGTGATCTAAGGATGGATGAGACACAGCCTTTCCTCTCCATGAGCTCAGGAGAACTGCACCCCTAAAACTGAGAGATTTCGTCCAGAACTAGAGACAGAAATAGCTGGTATGGAGCTTCATGGGGCACGGAGAAGAAGAGTGCTAGAGTGTGCGATCCTTGGCAGAAGCCACAGACAAGGGACAGAAGACATCTCTACCTAAGAGGGTATTTCAGGTGTCCAGGGATACCAGAGGTTATAAAGTCCTATGCCAGAGTATGCAAAAATAAACAAATGTTTGAAATGAACAAAATGAATGATATTTCCATAATAGTCACTGGAAGGAATAACAACCATTTACTGTGGGAGGATGCTCTTGTACACTGTAAAGATTTGTCACTCATATTAGTTTAATAAAACGCTGATTGGCCAGCAGCCAGACAGGAAGTATAGGTGGAGCGACCAGACTAAGAGAATTCTGGGAAGAGGAAAGGCAGAGACGCAGTCACCAGCCAGATGCAGAGAAAGCAAGGTGAGAATACCTCACTGAGAAAAGGTACCAAGTCACGTGGCTAAAAATAGACAAGAATTATGGGTTAATTTAAGTTGTAAGAGCGAGTTAGTAATAAGCCTGAGCGTACGGTCCAAACTGTTTATAATTAATATAAGCCTCTGTGTATTTCACTGAGAGTGAATGGCTGTGGGACTAGGCAGGACAGAAATTTCTTCTACACCTGTTCTTCAAGTCTGGTTCGATACAGGGATGCTTGGTCTCCATCACCCTCCCAGTGCGCGGACATCAGTAGAGCTTTATTTTAAATGTGATTTTCTAAAATTCTTGCATCTTGAAATCAATATGTATAGAAAATTTAAAGCACTAAAAAATATTTGAACTTCCATTTTATCATTAGCAAGAAGCACATAAGACATGCATTTGAAGACTGGGCATGTAGCTTAGTGGTATATGTTACAATGCTTGCCTAAAACATGCAAACTTTTGGGTTCAATTCCCAGCACCATCAAAACTAAACAAGAATGAGAAAGACTGAGACAGACACAGGGAGAGAATACGAAATGTGGCTGGTGCCTGAAAACAATGGTACCTAGAAGCCCAAGTTAAAATGACATTCAAGAATGTTACATACATAACATTGCTGCCACATGCAAGATGACACATATCATATCTGAGTTATCAAGGGAACAAAATTCATTCGGTAAAATTAGGAAATGGAAAAGTGCAAAATACGGCACAGCCCACACCAAGACTTACTTCCTCAGTTTGGTAATCAGGTCGGCAAACGACGTCTCCCAGGCGTACATTTTTATTATCCTCATGCCTGTGATGACTTCATTCATGGTCCTGATCCTGGCATCCGTGAAAGCTGCGGTCTTACTCCTGAGGGGGACGCATGTGACAGATGAGACACAGCGAAGGTAGCCCACCTGTGTATATCCATCATAGGCACAGACAGGGACCCAAGGCCAAAGGTGGCCCTACAGCTCTTGTGTTCCTACAACACAGGTGGATCCTAATCACAGCACAAACAGAAGGCCTCATGAGAGATCAGCCATTTCGGCCAACTATGTGTGTCAGTGTTTACTGAGGAAAACCCAAACATGAGTCCTGATACAACCACCATTCAGTTCCCTGAGGGGCACCCAGGGTGGGAGGTGAGGACGACGAGCATCAAGCTTGACACGGACATAGTTGACAGAAGTGGAACAAGACAGGAACGAAAGCTGCGAGGCAGAGGACACAGACCCTTGTTCATCCCACCAGGAGAGGAGAGAGCAATAGACGCTCACAGTGCAGGAGCAAAGAACTGGGTTTCTCGCGAAAGAGAGGACAGTCAATGGAGAAGAAGAGAGCCCGAAGCCATCAAACAACACAGCACACCCACCCCGCCCCATCCCAAATCCGAACACCTTAATGGAGACTTGCTTTGATTCTTGGTGCCTGCTTCAGGTCAAGGTCACTCTATCATCTTTTAGGCTTTCGTTAGCAGCCGTGTTTCTGACACACACGCTCTGGAACAGTGAGGCTTTGGAAGGGTTCTACTGAGACTGACCCCACCCTATGAGCTTGTGATTCAGTGGAAATACTGAGGTAAAAACAATTAAGTACATGCTCATATGTGAGAGCAGCCCCGTAACATCTGGATTGGGACAGTGAGTCGGCTCAGCTGGTAAGATCCCTTGCTGCCAAGCATGATGGTCTGAGTTCTAAACCCGGGATTGACATGGCAGAAGAAGAGAAAGACTTCGAGAAATTGCCTCGGACCTTTACACATGCTTAGGCACATGTGTACCCTCCTCGTAGACACATAACAGACAGACAGACAGACAGATACATACATACAAAGATGGATGATGGATGGATGGACAGATAGATGATAGCAAGGAAGGAAGGAAGGAAGGAAGGAAGATAGGTAATAAGTAAGTAGATGATAGACAGATAGATGATAGAAAGAAAGATAGATAAATGACAGAAAGATAGTAGAAAGAAAGAAAGAAAGAAAGATGATAGATAATAGAAAGATAGACACAGGCAGACAGACAGACAGACAGACAGACAGATGTAACAAGATATACAAAAATAAGATACTTGAATTTACTATTGCTGAATGTTTAACTAACATCACACATGTAAGTTAGAGTGAGGATACTCTTTAAGAGGCTACCCTGAAAAGCCCATTGGGAGCAGCCAGCCTAGGCCTTCACCTCTGCCTTTCAAGACCAGCCTTCAGGTCGTGGCTGGAGTATTCCCAGAATGAGTCTGCCTATGTAGAGCAGGCAAGCTAAGAAGTGTTTATCTTGTATCTGGGCAGCAGTCTCAGACAGGTGCATGTCCAAACATTTTCAGTCTGGCATTCCTCTTACCGCAGCGACGAGAACAGCTTCCCAATACAGCTTTGCAGAGGCAGAAGAATAACCAGAACAGCCATGCCAGCTAGGCAGGAGATGCCAATTTCCATCCAGAGAAGGACGGTTACAGCAATGGCCTGCAGCGGACCCGCCCACAGAAAGTGCAAGAAGATTGTTACCTGCGGATACAAAGCCAACATGTTCTTAGAACTGCCAATCAAACAAAACTGCCAATAAAACATGTCAAAAACTTTGTACTCAAAATAAAAAAAAAAAAGTGATCCCAGTGGTTTTAAAGCTGCTGAGGCCAAACTGCAAGTATCCTCTGCAGAAGAGGCAGCTCTGGCAAAACAGACAGTAGACCGTGGGCCCTGATATATATAGGGTGCCTTGAACTGCACCATCCCAGAAAGGATCCCAATGTTTTTCTCGCTCGTGTATGAGAGTAGCATTCCCCAGAAAGCTGTCTGCCACATAACTGAACCCCATCTCCCCCGGATCTCCCCAACACCTCAGAAAAGCCCGCACTATGGTGCCCACCACACGCTGCAGCCACTGCTTGTGTGTGGAAACCCTGAACAGGAGGACCAAGTTCCTAAGGCAGTGTATCTTGCTTATCCCCAACTCTAAGTGAAGTCTGTGAAAATCTGAAAAGGGGATGACTACAGTACAGATCAGAGGAGAATGTTCTAGGCCTTGTGACCAATGGATAAGTAGGTATAGAAAAATGGGCGTGGGGCGAGAACGTTGCAGTTTCTAGTTAGGGATCACCTATGTGGTATGACGTAGCAAAGTGTTCCTACGTGCCAGGTGCCCCGCGGAGAGGGTGGCACTGGACACTTCAACCCTCCACAACTTGGACCTCTAGGAAAGGAGAAAGACAATTGGCGGGCTGCTCTACGGCCATGTGGGTAAGGAGGGGTACAGTGTGGACAGTAACTCAGGACTATTAGTGCATTAACCAAGTCTGATTACAGGGGTGCAGCGGGCAACATCACAAAAACAAAACTGGACTCTGCAGCGTGAATTCTAATGGGTGTTAATAAAAACCCAGAGTCAGGTATTGGAAAGCTAAAAAATCAGAGAAGCAGAGCAGCCAGCCCCTCGTTGTTAGCTCTACCACATCCTCTGACAGAAGGGGGCAAGATCCTGTCTCTACAAGCCCTCAGACTGATCGACTTTTCTATGAAACCTTAGAATAAATCCTGAGCTCCTGTCTCCTCCCGCCTTATATTCCTCTCTCTGTCCAGTCATATTACTCCCTATCTCTACCTCCCTAGTGCCGGGATTAAAAGTATGTGACTCCCAAGTATTGGGATTAAAAGTGTGAGCCACCACCACTTGGCTCTGTTTCTCTTTTAGATTGGGTCAATCTAGTGTAGCCCAGGGTGGCCTTGAACTCACTGAATCCGTAGGTCTCTGCCTCTTGAGTACTAGGATTAAAGGTGTGTGCCACCATTGCCTGGCCTCTATGACTAACTAGTGTGGCTAACTCTGCACTCTGATCTTCAGGCAAGCTTTATTTGTTAAAGCACAAACAAAATATTGCCACAAGACTCTACAATATAAACACATCTTACTACATCTATGCTGCACACAGATGTGAGGTATAGTGTCAAAGTGCCTGTACTACATACTCTACAGAATCATAGTCTACACCAAAACCCTCACATTCCAGCAGGTTAAAGAGGAAAGAAATTAGGGTAGGAACTAACAGAGATGGAACCTACTTGGTCAAATTTGTTGACATCGTTGGACAGCAGGTTGACTATTTGGCCCGTGGTTGTCTTCCCCATGGCCACATTACTTAAACGAAGTGCCTGGAATAAATAGGCAAAGTGAAGAGTTGCATCCCATAAAGATACTCTATCCAGCACAGAAAACAGAAAAGTGTATGTTCACGGGGTCTCACGTGATGCTACTTGGAAATATTTTCAGCACCTGCACTTACTTTCGCATGTACCAATCCCAAATGCTGAAAATATACAGAATATTTTAAGAGAATTGGATTTTAATACCTAATTTCATTTTATTTTATTTTGTTATTTCAAGACAGGGATTTTCTACGTACCACTGGCTGTCCTGGAACTCACTATGTAAGCCAGGCTGACCTTGAACTCAGAGATCCACCTGCCTCTGCATCCCAAGTGCTGGGATTAAAGCACAGACAGTGTAGATATCTGATTCTAATAGTTCAAGTAAGAAGACAACCAGGCCTTGGCCCCAATGCCTGCAATCCCAGTGATCAGGAAGAAAGAGCTGGAAGGCTGAGTAAGAAACCAAACTGAGCTAGAAAGTCAGAGCTTCATGCACATACACACACACACACACACACACACACACACACGCAGCCTGAATCAATGAATGAATAAATAATAAAATGAGAAAACACATACTATACTCTAACCCTAAATTGCTCATAAAATAAGTCAGAACGACCGCATGCAGCTTGACTGACCATTCACAGACCCCGTGAGCAGAGAGCAACAGTCTGAGACACGCGGCAATCTGTGTGAAAAACAAGACCCACGAGTGTGCAGGGCTCCTTCGCACCCACCACATCTGTAGCTCAGGGAATGAAGGCCCAAGCTGTGGACGTTTGAACATGTGGGCTCTATCAGAAGTTACCAGAAGTTAACCGTAACTATGAGATCAATCCTAAAATTAGTGTTTTGTTCTTAAAACTTTGTCACACTACAGTTGGATGAGAAAAAAATACATAATCAGTGAGGAAGGCGGTTCACAAACACGACTGACAGACTTCTGGCCTCCGTCATGAAAGAGTAATTACTTGGTGCTGGTCTGTTGGCCTTGCCCTCCACTGTACAGCCACCAGGCTGGACAGCACAGGAAGCAGCTGTCCCCAGGCTCTGACCGCAGGCCCTGCAAGGACTGTGAGCCCTGAGGGAAGGAAACTCAGGAGTAGCTCAGGACTCACCTGGATTTCAGCCCAAGAGGAGCACGTTTCCCCCACCCAAGGCAAGAAGATGCCCACTGAGAGGGAGAAACGCCTGGAATTTGTGGGTCACAGCCACAGAGCAAAGGCCCAGAGTTTTCTGAGGGGAGTTGGCAAAGGCACTGTGCAGAAGCCTTGCCTGTCCAGGGGCAGGGCTGAGTGCCTGATTAGAGTCTGAGGTCAGCATGGCTTGGAAACGCCAGGGTCCTGCCCAGGCGGAGCATAGGCTTCTTCCTGACAGCCTCAGTCATTCAATAACGATGCCAGGAAGGCCGTGTATTGGTGATAAAGATCTGTCTAGAGAGTCAGCCAGGTCCTTGGACTGAGTTCAGAATGGAAATAGCTGCCCTACAGCTGAGATACACAGAGACAGACAAAACCATGCTGGTAGGACCAACCTCAGAAACAGAAACCAACACCAGGAAATCCAGACTCTTTACACCACGTCACTCCTGCCTCAACATGGTAGAGCGATTGTTACACAGGCAATCATAGGGTATCAATACAAAGAGACACATATCCAACTTGTGGAATTAGCAAAGAAATATAGAACAATAAATAGATAGATAATTGTAGGAGAGAAATGGACACCATCAAAAAGAAACAAGCAGAACTCTAGACTTGAAAATGTACAACATCTGAATTGTGTTTTAAAAAAAAATACTAACTAACATTAACAGCAGATCATTTCGACTGGTCCGTTTCCAGAGTAACTGATGTTTGGGGGGAGGCTACCTAAGGAGCTCTAACCTAGAGCCTCACATGTTAGGCAAGCTCTCTATGGTTGACTTGTGTTCCTAAACCTCCATTTTATTTGCTCTTTTGAGATAAGATCTCACTGAGTTGCCCCATCTGGCCTTGAACGTGCGACAGCTGCTTTAGCCTCCCATGAATCTGGTATGACAAGATTTATTTCTATAGTTTACCATGGGAAGATCAAACAAGGACCTGGGAGAGGAGGCAAGCGTGAAAGATAAGAACAAGCTCTCTGCGGGAGATTGCCATGTGGTCTAAGTTGGAGTCCTGAAGAACAGGTTAAAAAAAAAAATAAGAACTTCTGTCTGCAGGAATAGGAATGGAGAGGCCCTGAGCCTTGGCTCAATGATACAACACCTTCCTGTCCTGTTCAGGGCTTGGGTTAGATCTCAGCACTGGGAAGGAAGGGAGGGTGGAGGGAGGGAGGGAAGGAGGGAGGGAGGGAGGGAGGGAAAAGAAAGACTAGAATTCCCAATTTGCTCTGCACACCCAGGAACCTCAGTGACCATCAAGGAACAAAGCGGAAAGACCATGCTTAGAAGCTTGATGGCCATCCTTATGAGAAGCAGGACGTGGGCCCAGGAGACAGCTCAGTGGGCAGGCGCTCTCACTCCAAGATGAGGACCTGACCTCCATCGTGAGCACCCATGTGACAGAAGGGAAGAACCTACTCCAGCCATCCTCTGACCTCACACACACACGTGACTGATGGCACTTGCTGCTTGAAGTAACACGGAGACTTGTTAATTATGAAAGCTCCTAACTCATTCCTACAAGTTAAATTAACTCCTGTTTTTTAATCTATGCTCTTCCACAAGGCTCGTCACCTCACCTCTGTACTCGTCCTGCTTCCTCCGGGGCTGGCTGGAGATTCCACCTTTCTTCTTCCCAGAGTTCGCTCTCTGCCCAGATGTCCCGCCTATACCTCCTGCCTAGCTATTGGCCACTGAGCTTTTTATTACACCGCCATCACATCACAGTAATACATTTTCACACAGTCTTGCAGAGGAATAAGGTTCTGTTCCTGGGCTAACTCATAACCACCATCAATGCTAGCTCTAGGGGATGCAATGCCCTCTTTAGGCCTCTGAGGGCACTTGCATGTATGAGGTACCATAAAGACAAGTAGGCACACAGCTATACATATAAATAAAAATAATTTTTTTAAAAAAATTAAAAAGCAACAGTATCTCCCACTCATTTGATAAACTATTTTTCTTATCCGGATTATTTTCATCAGTAAATAGGAAACATAAAACCCGAAGATGCACATGTAACTACCACCATGTATCAGTTTGGGCAGGACAGAAACCCCGGTCCTCACCTCCATGGACGTGACTGGAAGAAGGAACATGCTTTCACCTTAGCAATCTGTGAGGATGAGTCTTGACTGACAGAATTATTTACGGAAACTGACAACCAGCTTGTTGTCTGTGCTAGATTGTCTACTTTAGGGCAACAGATGTGAGACACCCTCCACGTGAGTGGCACCATCCCATGGTCTGTGGCACACCCTCCACGTGAGTGGCACCATCCCATGGTCTGTGGCACACCCTCTACGTGAGTGGCACCATCCCATGGTCTGTGGCACACCCTCTACGTGAGTGGCACCATCCCATGGTCTGTGGTCCTGACTGCAGAAAAAGGAGAGAACTGACTGAGCTGGGACCCATCTCTCTGTCCCCTGAGTGGCAATGTACGTGACCATCATGATGGACCCCATGAGCAGAAGAGAACCTCCCTTCCACGGATCTCAGCATGTCTTCCCATCACGATGGACTCTGTGAGCAGAAGAGAACCCCCTTCCATGCACCACAGTGTGTCTTCCTATCCTGATGGACTGCGTGAGCTGCTCCCTTCCTACGCTGCTCTAGTTGGGCACTTGCTGCAGGACAAGGCACATAAGTGATAGAGAATCCAACCATCATCTCAACAGAAACCTCCTCAAAACTCCACACTAGTACTCCTGCTGGATCAGGGGTGCGAACTACTGGTCAAACTGCAGATTCGCTGCCAGTGTCAACAGCCCTCCGTGTGAGGTTACTCCCAAAGTGCCTGACGCCCGTGTGTGTGGATTCTCTCTTGTCCCTTGTTATCAGGTTGACAGCTGCCCTACAGACTGACATCACACTAATCTCCCATCACTTACTATTCCTTTGAGACAGCAGGTCAAGGCAGAGTGGAATAGCTCAGTGTAAACACCTTAGAGTTCATGACCCTACCCCAGGTGGTCAGATAATGTGGCATCCAGGTAAGTGAGGCACTACTGCAACAGGTGGGTACAAACTATGGTGAGCGTGCTCCTCTAGCTGAAGCAGAACGCCACCTGCATCCTTCCAACACCATTGGCTAGAGATGCTGAACGATGCGTTACACTTCTTCATGGTTGCACCTTCTAACAACGGTTGTGCTGCTTTTCAAAGAGAGAACCCAAGAACTAGCCAGTATCCTCCCGCAGTATGAACACAGTGGCTGCCCATGGTCAGCCTTGCTCCCTCTCACTCTGTAGAGGGAAACTGATTCAAGGAAATGAGAAAGTGCAAACAAAACCAACAGCTTGATGTTTTCCACAACCTAATAATCCAGCTGCCTTGGGGGTTTCCTTCTATTTTGTTTATTTTTAGATAAAAAGAAAACCTGTCCAGGCTACCAAACCTATCCTTGGAGGGTGTGATAGTCATCCACCCAATGGACCAACAGCTTCCCCTCCACTCCCCTTCTGTATCTCAAATGTTATCCAACAGGCCCAGAGTTGACTAGACAGGTCTGTCTGGCCCTGTACACACCATGTGAACCCATTTATCTCCATTTGAGGAGGACCCTGAGATCTGTGTTCTGAGATCACGCTAAGAGTAAAGCACACACAAAAACACAAGACAGTCAAATTCATCATAAGCCCCACACACCCTCACCTCACCCCCTGCAGGAAAGAAATTAGGCTCGCTCAAAGTCCAGAGTTGCTGAGGTTGATCTCTCTAAAGCCTTGGAAGGCCTAGTGTTTCTGTAGCTGGGGTCAGAGCATGGCCAACCAAGGCCAACAACCACTGGACGGTTGGTAAAGACAACAGACGCAAACACCGCATTTCAGGGGTCCTCAGGGGTCCTTGG